TAATCGTCTTACATTGCAGGTCGCTCGCTTCCTACCACACTGATACGATAATTTGTTGTTTCAACAACACGTCCAAAATGACTCAGCCAGGTACCAGTGCTAAGAGAAGTAAAACATAACCATTATCACAAGGAGTATGAAGATGATTTCTTTTTTGTTATGGTGAAGGAGAAACGTGTTTGTCTCTTACGTAGTGGCACTACCAAAAAAAAAAAGCAAATGTCGAAAGACATTTTAAAACCATGCACTTAGAATACGCTACAGACTTTCCAATCAGCAGTGAACTTCGAAAAGTTGAATTAAAGTCAAATTTACATTTGCAGCAATTGCTATTTACGAGACCAGCCACCAAAGCTAAAGCAGTAACAATGGTGTTGTTTAAAATTACAGAAGTTTTGATAAAGCGAAAAAAACCATTCGAAGATGGAGAATTGATAAAAGAAGCTTTCTGCAAAGCGGGAGAAGTGCTTTTCTACGATTTTAAAAACAAATCTGAAATAATATCGTCAACAAATAATATTTCTTTGTCGCATAACATTGTGATGCAACGGACTGAAGCTATAAATAATAATTTGAAGGATTTATTAAATGACGATTTAAAAGCTTGGAAGTTCCTATCACCTCAATTTGATGAATCCACGGATATTAGTGACATTGCACAGTTATGCATTTTTGTGAGAATGGTTTTCGAAGATATGACTTCAAACAAAGAGTTATTAACTATAATTCCATTGAAAGGACAAACGAGAGGACAAGATATCTACAATTAATTAAAAAAACTTTATTTATAAGACAGGATTTCCAATATATAAATCGGTCTCTATTACAACAGATGGAGCTCCAGCAATGATCGAGAATTGAATTGGTTTTATTGCCTTGCGCAATAATGATGAGGAAATTCCCAGTTTTACCAGCTATCATTGCAATATCCATCAACAGGTATTGTGTTCAAAAATACTAGAGTCTAATGATATAATGCAAATTGCTTTTAAAATCATCAATTCAATTCGTTCAAGAAGTCTTCAGAGACAACAATTTTGGGCACTTTTGGAAGAAACTGAATCAGAGTACGGAGATCTCTAATTGCACACAGACGTGAGGAGGCTAAACCGATGTGCTTTTTTAAAAAGATTTCATATTCTGTTACCAAAAATAAAAAATTTTCTACAAATGAAAGGAGAGCACACTACTGAATTAGAAGATGAGAAATGGCTCATGAAACTAGCTTTTCTCTGTGATATCACTGCAAAACTTATCGACTTAAACCTAAATCTACAAGGAAAGAATAAATGTTTAACAGGCATGATGAGCGCGGTTAAAACTTTCAAAGAAACGATAAAAAGGTATGCCTCTCAATTAAGAAACATGAATTGAGAAACTTCAAAAACATGGAGGAAGAGTGCATCCATAATCCAAATCAAGATTTCGCCAAACACTTAGATGTTTTGTTTGAAGAATTTGAAAGAAGATTCGCTGACTTATTTAGGTTGGAAGAAATACTCAATTTTATGATATTTCCATTTAATGAAAATGTCAAAATTGATGGAGTATCTGAAAAAAAAATAGGACATTTAATAGATACCACATCAGTCACAGTCGAAGAAGAAATTATTAAATTAAAATGCGATATTTTTCTTAAATCCAGAGCATCTAGCGATACTGATTTTTTGAAATTAATTTCTGAGGAAACGTTTCCAAATATTTATAAATTGATTTTGTATTTGAAATCATACTTTGGATCGACGTACCTTTGCGAATCTGCTTTTTCAACCTTGAACGGCATAAAATCCAAACATCGGTTGCGTTTTACAGATGAACATTTAATTTCACGTTTACACATTGCAATAGGCTCATACCAGCCACAATATGATAGATAAACTTGTAGATATACAGTGCCAAATTTCAACTAAACGAAGTGAATAGGATGGTCAATTTTTTATATATGAATACTTTGATTATTTTCGTCAGTAAATTTTTATTTTGTAAATATTAAGTTTTTTAGAAAAATTAGATAATTTACCATTTTTTCTTGTTATCGAAAATAAATATATAAACATGTACGTTACGTTAATTTAGCTCCGCCATTGGTAGACTGCCTTCAATTTTTTTAATTGAAGACCACGGATGCCAAAAGTTTGGCCACTCCTGCTATATATGATAGGAATAAAAAAAAGACAGCACGTAAATGTAAAAGAATTGTCCTCAAATGAGAGCACTGGAACTGAAATAACAAGAGCTGTGATGAGCTATAAGAGATTTTTATTTCTGACAAGTTGTCTTCAATTCGATGATAAATGAACAATACAGAACAGATGAACATTAAAACTAGCTTGGATTTTAAAATATAGTAATTAAAGAATAAATTAAAATTTTTTTATAATGAAATACGTCATTGCCTTTCTACCTGACTAATGTAAGTATTTAAAAATAATTTACTTTCATTTTAATGTGACATAATTTGTATTTTGCAATAATAAATTTAATATTTATTTCTTAACAAATTTATTATCAATATTCATCCATTTCTGTCGTTTTTCTTGCCCAAAACGGTAAAATAATAGATGTCATAAAAAATATGATGTGTGTGCTCACGTAAAATTGGCAAGCGCACGTGCAGGAAGGTTAAAGTATGGAACAGAATTTTATAAAAATAAACTCAACAATATGGAATGAGTTTCATGTCTCTCTTTCTTCATTCCATTTTTTAATTGGTCTTTGCAGAGTAAAAGTTTGAATAAATAAAATAATCATCACATTTTAAGTTAAAATGTTTTAAAAAAAAAGCACTATATATAATTTCATGCAAAATTCACAGGTAGTTAAAGATTATTTTAGTGTGAAAAAACACTTTAGGGATATCTGTAAATTTCTAAGGAAAAATGATCCACATTTCTGTTACAATTTAATCTTAAAAACTTCATGCAGCCAGACCATTCATTAATCAATGACAGAAGACAGAACAAACTACCATTTTCATAACTTCGAATTTCAGACTGAATTTTCAGATTTAGGTTATTTTATCTTGCCAATTTCTGACTTTTATTCAAGATTTAAAAAAAGATGGAAAAGAGAAGCTGCTTCAAAATAAAAGCAGCAGATTCTGATAAATAATAGCTTCATATTAGGCAAAACAGCTTTGCATTTTCAATTGGACTCTTTATGTTTATGAAATGTTTACCCTTACGAATCTGATGCATAATAATATGGCATTCTTAGCTAATTAAAATACACTGAATGTTTCACAAATCAAAATTTTTAACCTACAAAAACCATACCAAATTTTAACTTTTCTTCAACACAGCACCCTTTCACTGCATAACCACTATTAAAAGAAACAAAATTTCTAACAATTTTTTTAAATATTTTGTTTTAGTAGCATAAACTAATAATTACATACTACAAAAATGCAAACTTTATTAAGCATACCAAAAACTGCTGCTGGTAAACAGACTGGAATAGAAAACTGAACCAAACTATAATAATTTATACCCAACAATTATTAAGCAGGGAAAAAATATATATTTGCAAGATCTGTCACTATTCTAACTAACATTTACATCGCTGGCCATAAAAATTGCAGCACCAGGAAGGAATTATCGGATGAACGTCAAAGTCACATGAAAGGAAGAACAGGCTGGGATATGCAAATGATTAGTACTTCAGCCCATTTAGATAACACAGGAGGAGGACGAGGGAGAAATGACATCTGAAGCACTGCATAAAAGAAAAGTTGTGTAGTGGATTTCTCATTCGGAAAGTGCTTCACAGGGTTGGAGTTTGCTCAGAATATCATTTTATCCCTCAGATGAGAAGAGGAAATGCTTACCAACAAGTGTCAAAATTTGATAAAGGTAGGATTGTAACTAATTGCCATGACAATAGTTTTGCTTCCCCTAGAAATAAGCTGAATAACTTCAGTGCCATAAAACAAGAGTCTAGGTGGTTAAGTTTGGGTTAAAAAAAATAAATTAAAATAATAAAAACATAAAAAAAAAATCTAAAAGCTTTCAGATTTTATATTACGCCTAAAGGGACTGTTTTTAATGTTTTGCGTGTTACCTTTATTTATTAAATATAATTTTCTTCACACTTAAACCACATACAATACAACAGCAATATTACAAAATATTTAAAAACAGCATATCTTTAGAATTTCTAATACACAGTCTCGGTCAGGCGCTGAAGATAAAAATGTCCCTCCCATACACCGTTGCCACTGCTCGCTTTGAAATCGTTGAATTTCTGATTAAGCTTTACAAAATATGAAGTAGATAATAAAACAAATTCCAAATTTGGGCTTTCAGATGCCCATACTCGGGTGGAAATGTACGTTACTCAAAATTTGATGACTCTAGGTACCATTCTTTTATCAAAATGCATACATTTTAATAAAACAACAATAAACAGAAATATACAAACATTTATGCAGATTCTTCATTATTTAATTTCTTTAAATATAATACAGGGTGATAATATTTGGTGGCAGTAATTTGAAAAGTGATTCAGACTTATGAAGCTTTCAACGCAAAAATGAAATTAATAGCCCTTCTTGGTTAATGTCTTCTTCTTCTTCTTCTTTTTTTTTTTTTTTTTTTTTTTTTTTTTTTTTTTAAGGGAAGAAGCTCTGAGTAAAATATATTGTGAAACAAATTAGGTGGGGAAAAAAGTAACAGCTACTAGCTTTAAATACTTTTTTCTCACTTACATTTTGATCTTTATTACAATTTGCCATCTTGGTTCTTTGCATTTTTAGTGCACTTTTTTAACCTATCTAAAATCTAAATACTTTGAAATAAATTAGAAAACTATTTTTTTGAAGTGAATGAAAAAATTTCTAGTAATAAAAAATTTATCTTATTATGAAAATTAAATATTAATTTCAAATTCTATATTTTGACATGCAATTTATTAATGTTCTGTAGATGTATATAGTATATAGCAAACATTAGGCTAGTGGTAATGAAATACATATTTCAAATGCTTGAGGATAAATACATTACCTCCTTTTTTAAAACAACTATCTATAAACTGTTTCACCTGAAACACAGAATAAAAAAGCAATTACTTCGACAGATAAATTTCACATGCAATTAAATAATTATTCCACAGAATATATAAAATTTAAAATTATTATTTTTTATATCTTTAAAGCTTTAAAACACTAAATTTGAAAAAAGATGCATCTTTCTTGAGTTTACAATAATTAGATTACTGATGACTGATAGTACTGATGATTAGAGGTATATTGAAGCGCCTCTAACAATTTTTTGCCTACTTGCAAGAAATAAGATATTTCAAAATATCTGTTATGAAAAAAAAAAAAGTTTCCTTCCTTTAATTACAAAATCAAATATTTTTCTAAACACACTTTACGTAAATTCTTGGAGGTTTTACATCAAAACATTTTATAAGCAAATACATGGCTCTGTATAATATTTCTTAAAATAATTAAAAACCTTAATTTAGAAGTCAAAAACAAAAATCAGCATTATATTTGCAAATTTTCACAGGACTAGTTTCGATGTTTTTAACTTGAAACCTTGTTAAATTCAAAGAACAGTACTCTTTAAATTCGCAAGATAATCAGAAGCTTGACTGATAGACTGTAATGCTGAAAACTGAAAGATGCAACAATCTAATTTCAACCACAATGTTAAAAACATTCTATCTTAATGCCCATGACTTATAATCTATAAACATTCATCTCATTGCCATGAAAAATAATTTAAATTTTACAAATAAAAAAAGAAAAATAATTAAATAACAGTAGTCACAATATAATGAAAGTATGAATGCTATTTCCTTCCCTAATCTTGCTTTTGATGAAAACTAGAAGTACGATTTTCAATATTAAACCCTGTTGGAAAAGAAAAATGTTATATATCAAATGTTTATGTTCCCCATTATATCCTCTTCAGCAGAACTTCTGAGGTCTCAACATCATTATCTATAAATAAATTATCTTGTATTTGTTCATTATTCTTTAAATGTCCTTTAGTTTCTCATCTTGCCCATTGTTGTCAATCTTTGTGATGAAAGCAATCTTTCTTTAAGCAATTGCAAATAATTTTTTTAAGCAACATCATAACTTTTGCAAGTTCAAATATGCAGTCACGTAAATTTATTACACATAAAGGCTGATTACTTTCAATTCCCATTAGGACTTTCTTCAAAATTATTTTGGCATAAGGAACTTAATACTTTGCATCCCCAGGCTGCAGTTTTGAAGTAACATTTGCAGGATTTAAAAAAAAATTGAAAGGTTTCAGATTTTAAATTACGTCCAAAAGGGGCGTTTTTTTTAACATTTTGTGTGTTACCTTTATTTATTAAATATTATGTTCTTTATACTTAAACCATAAAATTCAGTTCAACAGCAATATCGCAAAATAATTTTAAAATTAGCATATTTTTAGAATTTCCGACACACAGTTCCGCATGCTGGAGATTAAGGTACACCCCATAGAGTGTTGCCATTGCTCGCTTTTAAATTGTTGAGTTTGTTAAACAAAAATTCGTTAAAGTTTTAGAAGACATGAAATCAATAATAAAACAAATTCCAGATTTCAAATTTGGGCTTTCAGATGCCCATATCCGCAGTAGGATTACGTCATTCAAAAATGGAATAGGTACCGTTGTTTTATCACAATGCGAGAAACATGCATACATTTATGCAGATTCTTCATTATTTAATTTCTTTAAACATACTACAGGGTGATAATATTTGGTGAAATAGACATTCAGAGTGATTCTATGCAAAATCGCAAAACGAAAACAATAATTCTTCAGGGACAAAGCCCCTTTGGAATGTTTATACCTATCTTTGATAACCTGAGGTCACTGCAACTGTCTATGCTCAGGACAATTTTTCGTTTCTATATTTTCAGATACTTTTAAAAAATGTCTGAGCTCATCCATGACTTCTTATTGAAATCATAATCTACTTCCAGTGATTAAATACCTCTAAAACACCCTAGATTTTTATTCTTTCCTATACATAAAGGTTTCAATTTTTCATTTCCTTCCATATTTACATATAGCAGAACGGTAACTTTCAGGTGGTTGCCTCTAGGACATTCCTCTTTTTTTAAATGTTAATGTTCTCAGTGGTAAACATTAAAAAATAAGCCGGTTTTATTAATAAATAAGTTTGGCTAGTATATTTCTGTGATTTCTTTTAGTGTTTATATTTTTGTAAGATAGAGTCTTCTTAAAAAATATCCTTGCTTTTGTCATACATGATTTTTGCCACTACTCTACATCTTTTTTGAATTGCTTGTATGAAATTCACTTTGTAACTTGTAATTGATATTGGAACAAGCTACGGTAAATTCCGTTTCTTGTTCCAATATCAATGGCCCGAACAGAAGTACATTTTTTTCTCTCACTGTGCACAGCTATTTTAACATTGCTTCATAAATGTGCATGTCCTTATGTTTAGCACTTGAATCTGCAGCATCAAAGCTTGAGGAAATTTGCCTTGATTTTTCAAGATTTTCGATACACTATTTTGCAAAATACAGAATTTTATGACTATGTCTTTCTTCTTTTGCCTTCATCCATTTCATTACGAATCAGCATCTTTTCTTTAAATGTTAGACAATTTAAATTTGACACTTTTATCATTCAAAGTAAAATTACTTCAAAAAGGAATTTTAGTATAAAACCACAAAACACACGCAGCTGTTGTTTAAACTGGTTTGTGAAACAGCATTGGTTGGGGCATTGTTTATAATAGGATGGCTAAATGATTTCCCATCTGAGAATTCCCCTCATACACTTCATTCCTTAGAGTGGAATGTGACAACAGATAACAGATAACAAGTCACCTGCTTTTCTTTAGGACCACAGCTGTACACATGTATGTTCCACAGAAAATGAATAAACAATTTTTGAGTGGAAAGAAAAATCTTGTAAAATCATCCATTCAAAAGTTTTGTTAAATAGAAAGTGCACTTAACTATTTTTAAATTTTTATACAAGGAAATTCACATGAAAATCTTTGGTAGATAGAGAAATTTGTAAAACAGAGGTTTGAATGTATATATATAAAACAAATTTTGAATTGTTATTGCAATTAAAAAGGCTATTTGTAAAACAGAGGTTTGAATGTATATATAAAACAAATTTTGAATTGTTATTGTAATTAAAAAGGATATTATAGTATGTAAACATATAATATTTACATAACAGCATATTTTTTAATTTAAGTAAAATACTTTAAAAATTTAAAAAATTTAATGAACATTAATTGAAGAATTATATATATATGAAAAAATATTTTTGGATATATACATCATACAAATAGCAATCAATAAATAAATATTAACTGAATGCAATTTAAATTAATGTAATATGATGCGATAAAAGATGTTATGATCAGAAATGACAGAGATCTGCCAACTGAAAATTCTCAATTCATGACAAGGATATTTATCCAACAGAGTAAAGTTCAAATCTCATAACTTATCCTGTGACCAAAAAATGAGCGCAACTGATGTGTCCTTGAACAAACGAGGTATGCTATAAGTGATCACTTATGCTTAGGGTTAAACGAAATGCAAAAACAGTTTATTTATTTATTTTTTTTTTAAGGAAAACAAAACTTTAACAAACAATTATGTATAACTACATTTCATAAATAATTTTAAAAATAGGAAAATGGAAATGCATCATGACACATATATGCATCAGAAATTCTCAAATGTTTGATTAAAATGACTGAGTATGTTTAATGCTTGAGCACAAAAGATGTAAATATAAAATTTGAATTAATGCTTTTTAGTTTTTTAAATATCTATATAGGTTTAAAAAACTTACACAATTGCTTATCAAAGCTAATACAAATAACTGTTTCTTTAAAAATTAATTCCTAAAAGTACAACATTAATCACTTAAAGCTTACTGCAAACAACATGCTCATGCACTTTATTCTTCTTTCATAATATGCCCAAGGAAGTATTTATAACAAATTTGCCATCATTGTATTTTTTACTTTGCAGGGATTACAAAACTGATTCCAATGTATTGATTTTATACACATATAAATTCAAATCTCCCTGCAAATTTTTAAAAATGTTAATTGTAACATTTTATTTATGTAACTGTTTAAAAGTTATTAAAATTCCTGAGACCTTAGCATTAAAATTTGAATGTGATAAAAACTCGCAATACCTGCGTTCAAATTTTCTAGAATTTCAAATTTAATTTTTAATTACAGCAAATTCGATAACATGAATAAAATGAAACATTTTAAATTATTAAAGTTAGTAATCTTGAAGATAAATGAAACTTGAAAATTTAATAAATAATTATCTGAATCTGAGAATTATTCAATTATTTGATAATACATTTTATTTTATGTAAAATAAAATTTTAAGAAATTAATTTAAAATTAGAATCTATATTAAATACAAAAGTAATATATAAATACAAATATATATAAATATATAATACAAAAAGTAATTTAATCTATATTAAATACAAAAGTACTTAAACCTTTTATTAAAAGGCTGAATAATTCACTACTATAAAAGCTTTTCATAAAATTTAATTTTACATTCTTTTGTTGTCAGATTTCTTCAAGCAGTACAACAATAAAGTTGTATCTTAATAATCAATAAAATAATTCTTATACATGGATGCTTTATTTTAATGCATGCTTAAATTTCACTACTTTCCTTTTAAGAGACAGCCTTGTTCTCTATGCATTTTATTTGAACCCCTTCCAAAAAATCCAAAAATCTTTCATTTGAATAATCTTGAAATACTGGCTAATTATTTTTCCAATCACTGACATTCATCATGCAGAATTAATTCACAATTAGAATTATTCATTAAATATGAAAATTGTGGTTTTATTTCCACATTAGTCATCATACAAAAACTTTGTAAAATGAAAAATTATTCAGTAAACAAAAACATTTTAAGAAATGCAAGACACATTACAGTACAAAGTCCAAAATCCGAATGTCCAATAACTGAACCGATCTATTACCCACATATCCTTTACTTTTATTTATTTATCTTATTCTTTTCTGATACAAGCAGGAACGGAAAATTTGATATTTAACCCTCTGAGCGGCCCGGGTTTTTGGATCTATCATGAAGACCTGTATTTTAAGAGCCTTTATTAACTAAATATGTATAATTACCTATTTTAGTCTCTATTTTCATAAACTTACATTCATCAAGATGGCATTCATATTATTAATGAAAGTAAGAAAGCAAAACACTAATGCACATAACAAATGAAGAAAATCTTATGACCAGATAAAGCTGGTCATGGCACTCAGACGGTTAAGAAAAGTGAGTGTTGCATAGATTGATTTTTCTTAAGACTAGAAACATTATTCTACATAACCGTATTGAATCATCCCACATGTTGTTTCACCTTTAAATATTTGCTGACTAGCAAAGCACTTTTTCATTTTCAGCCTTCAAGTGAATGGGAAGGGGTAATCATTTTTGTGCACAGGAAGTCAAACTTCAAGATCAATTTTTGTTTGGAGTGGAATGTCGCACCACAAACTGGTTGTTTTTTTTTCCGCTAGTATAGCAGGGATGAAAGGGGGGAAAAAAGATTCCGATTAACATAAAATCAGCTATCATTAAGAAATGCAATCTTTCTTCACTTCCAGCTTAATTTTTTATTCAGTATAGTATTAACACTGTTATTTCCCCAAAATTAAAGTTTTAGTAAAATATTGTCTTTTTTTTTTTTTTTTTTAACTCTTTTCTCGAAATTACACATTCATTAATCAGCCAATGGATATCAGATTTTTGCGTGCACTGAAAGCAGCTATAAAACTAACAAAAAATTCTTGAAATATTTTAATATAAAATCTGTACAGTAGGAGAAAATTTTAAAAATGCTTTGTATAATTTATATCCAGCATCATGATAAAGATAATAATATCCACAAATTCGAAAGATAGCATCTAAATGTGAAAAGCAAAATTTTCTAATTAATGGAATACGTGAAAAACTGTGAAGAAATTCTAAATGAAGACTAAATAAACAAAGTCTTCCATTGCAATAAAAATTCCTGTTTTATCAAAAAATTAATGGGCATCAAAATCTGCAGTAAGCAGAAACGACAAAAGACATGCCATTTTGACTTCAAGTCGCATTTTAATTTAATGAGGTGGTCATTAAATACATGAGATCCTTTGATGAGATACCTCTTTCTTAAAAAAAAGGGGGAAGGCACTTTTTCATTGCTTTGCAAATTCCAAATCATAAAAATCTGTTTCAAATTTCAGTTTAAAAAAAAATCATGGTTGCAACAGGAAAGAGTCTGAACCAAAATGGTGATGCTTGGCATTTCCAATGAAATACACTCTTCCCCATCAAATAAGAGGCACCAAGTGGCTTTGACAGAAAGGCAGCTAAGAAATTTTTTGTCAAATAGATATAAAGAAATGAAAAGAAATATTAACTGCAGAAATATTAAACAAATGTTCAATGTAATGGCACTGCTACTATCGTTAATTAACGGATGACGAAATTTACAGTATGGTTTTAAACCTATAAAATATCACCACCAATTGTGCTGAAAGTGATGAAGTGGTTGTTGAGCATTAAAAGATTTTATGAATGAAGAATAAAAGAGAAGAAGGCGAGCTTTCATAGACATAATGTAAACCAGCCTGACTTGCCTCAGGCGACTCTCAAATCGAAGCCAGTATGCGGTGAAACAAATGAACAGGGAGCTGGTGAAATTCCTTCTACTTGAAATGTTAGTGAAGTATGAAGCAACATAAAGCATAAATCTGCTAGAAATCAGATGCATAATTCTGCTGAATCAGAAGCATAAACTGCTATCTGAGAATTAGATTTTACTTATTTATACTTGAAATTTTTATTCTGGAGTGTGCTTTGCACATTTTTTTTTTTTTTCATTTTACACAAAAAGGAGTTCATTTTACAATTTTCCTTTTTGCACAATATTTAATTACTATTGTATTAATATTTTTAATGTAATACTACATTAAATTGTGCTTTTGTTTTAAAAATCTATAATACATTTCCATAAATAAATTCACAGATGTAAAATTTATTATTATTACAAAAATATTTAAAAAAGCAATGAGTAGCAAGAAGAAAAGTGCTTAAGTAACCCTCCCAAATAGTGACCACATCCTTGACAGCTTGATTTTAAGTGAAAGGCAAAGGAACAGAGTCTTATTTCTCCGGTGACAAAACATCTGAAATGCAAACAAACTAAGGCATAAGTAGAATTACAAGTTGTTATTAATAATATTAATAATAGCTTGTTGTAATTCTATTTATGCCTTAGTAATTGAATTAATAAGAAATGTTGATTAGAATAATTTAGTGCTTCTGAAGATGCTTTCGAGCTCCCTCATTGTGCAAAAGAATTCGATAAAATTTTTACTGGCGTTAGTGTTTTTAACTGTTTCATAGTAAGATTTAGGTTTTAAAATAACAGTAAATTTGGAATTGCTTCTGTTAGACGTTATTTTGTTTTTTTCAGAAAGAGGTTTTTAGGACTGTCCATTTTATGGATAGCAATATTATTATGTTAAAAATTGAGGGATTTTCATGAAATTTGGTTTTTAAAAATTTTGGCCAGCCATTGGTTCTTAAAAGCAAGGCAGATAATCTACACTAAGAAAACCTCATACCGAGATACTTTCAAGTGTTCCTGATTTCTTTAAAAGTCTAGGTTATAATTTTAAAATAAACTGCATCTTTCTATCAAATTAACCCTTTAATGTACCAGTAAAATTCAGAACATGGTCTTTTCTCCGGTCAATTTTTTGTTTTTTTATTTTAACTCAAAACGCTAGTGGATATACTCTGTTCTGTATATTATATATCTGAAAAAAATCCTTAACTCATTTACTTAAGTGTACAGTAATAATTTAGTTTGGTACACCCGAGTTAACTCATTAAGTACATCAAAAGGTTAAACAGAAGGTGTTAAGATATAAAAGGAAACAAGTTATATTGAAAGAATCATTAAATAAAACAAAATAAATCTTAAAATTTTTGGGGGGGAAGAGGGAAGCACATATTCCTCAACACGTGCATGCCGGGGCAAATTTTTATGTTCTTCTCTGAGAAGCGGCGCTCGAATTTTTGCCGCGTTTCATCTGGCAGCGCGCGATTATTACTTATTTAGACCTGTATATGAGTTGTTCATCTGCTAATAGTATAGCGAGTACTTATTTTGCAAGTTGTGTAACTTGTGCGGTTTTTTTCATCTTAACCTCAGATTTCTGCCAATAAGTATAACTAGAAAGTAAGTTAGAATGTTTTTTAGATTTTCGCCCTTATAAATAATAGATAACAGGGATATGAAAATAAGTGATTCATCTGATGAATCTATCAACAGAAGAAGAAATACTATTAGAAGCAATCTAATAACACAATCGAATGTGTACCACTGATGGTATGCACCGCCTGATAAAACAGACTAGTGCGGGCCACCGGTGGTACGGGCTGCCCGATGAGCCATACTAGTGCGAAGCCACTGGTGGTACGCGCTGACGTGAATATGTTAAGAAAATACTTCATTATTTCATTAACAACCATTTCACATTTTTATTTTTATAATAGGTAAATATCCTACGTAATTAAATTGACGATCTAAAATCCAGAAATTTCTGATATTCCAACCATTCAGGATTGCGGACTTTATACTTTAATAGATGGAAAAATTAACAATAATTCATAATTTATTATATGCTTATTAATACAAGCATTATTATTCACACACTTATTAGATTTATTATTATTTATGCATTGTGATTTACTTATCTCACCTGAGGAAAAAATGGAATAATGTTTGTCGTTGCAGCATCAGCAATATCTAAAACAGTATATCTAAAAAATAATTAGAAAAGTAACAAAATTAAATAATATAAAACAAAAGAAAAAATTTAACAGCAATTCAAAAACTAAAAAACCTTAAAATTAATAAAAAAAAATTTGTAATTAATGAATATTTAAACAGAAGAATTCATAATCCTGAAATCCTATTAAGCTTTCCTAAAATTAGTCTTTTAAATAAGAACATTGTATATAATCCATCATTCCTTTATTTCACTTTCCCCAACAAGAATACAATCTCGTTTCCCTTAAGTCCTCCAAGAAGGCATCCCTTCCTTTAGGCAGATAGCCTATGTCTGCTTCGCCACATTTGGATAATTCCTTAATAATTACATTCATTAATGTCAACTATGGGGCGGGGAAGTTCATGATTAAAAGAAAGTTGGGTAGCCTTAAGATAAAAACATTGTAATTATTATATGTATATTCTTTCTTATATGCCCCCTTTCTAGAACTTACCCTTGTAGCATAACAATTAGAACTAGAGCAAAATCATATTTAAAATTAAAATTTTCTGAAATAAATCATTATGAAACAATAGAATGCTCCAATCCTAATAACAAGCAAGCTGATAAATAAGCAATCTAAGAATTTAATACAATTCTCCACTTCTCACCTCATACCCCAAAATAAAAAAAAAAAAAGATGTTTATTTTGTGGCTGCATTTAACTTAAATTCTCTACTAAAAACACTGTCTAATCATTTGCTTATTACATCGTACGGATAACAACACTGTTTAACCATATGAGCAGCATCTTATTCTGTATCTGCTTATAAAGAACCGAGTTTAAATTGCATTCACTTATTAAAAGTAGAATAATTATTTATTTCCTTCTTTGTTTTCATGACCTTTCATTCTTTAGTTAGATCTTTAAAGAAAGGCATTATTTTAAATAACCTGATAATATATACCAAGTGACAAAATTTCATAACAAGGTAAAGTTATGCTGCTCAGAAGACTAAAGTATTCCGTATAAATTAGGAATGCACAAACTGTGGCCCGCTGACACCTTTTCAAACTTTTGTTGCAATTTGACATATTGGTTGTCTCTAGAAGGAGTTGCGAGCAAAAAACATTTCACCACTCTCCCCTCATTACTCATTTTACTCTGTCCCCTCGAAGTGAGATTTGGCACTGAGCCAAGTTCCCAGCATCAACCAAAGCACATATCCGCTGCCTGAATGCACAAATTGCTCCTAGCCTGTAGGACCAACACCTGTAGAAGATTGAGAAAGAGCCTGTGGTATGATGTAGCACGAGTGTGTTTGCAACCACGAGCTAATTAATAAAGTGGAGGAGAAAAATATCTGCTCGGATCCAGAGCGGTGCATTCATTTGCTTGGCATCATTGCTCTTTTGGCTTCGTGACTATGCGTTATTTTATCACATGTGTGTTTATTTTTCTTTTCAAGATCATTAAGAAGTTTCATGTTTTGAATATTTCACTTTTTTATTTAAATATTATTTTGAAAGTGGAACCAACGTACAATTTTTGCAATTTTTTTCCCATGTGGTTTTGATAGTTGCCATGATGAATGGATGCAAAGCGAAAAGAAAGTCAGCGGATGATAACGGGAAATTTTCAGAGGCCTCGACTTCAAAATACTTTTTTATGGAGCAAAGTAACAGAATTACATGCTTGATATGTAATTTGGCGGTTAGTGTTTCCAAGGTGTATAACATTAAGCGACACTATGACACAAAGCACTCAACATTTTCAAAGCTTGAGGGAGAGGATCAAAATCGTAAAATCGAATCTCTTCGCTGTTCTTCCGTTGCTAAAAGAAATGTATTACAAAGGCATATTCACAGTTAGATAATTATGTTCAAGCTAGTTTGGGAATTGCATCCATAATTGCAAAAAGTGGCTGCCCATTTACTGATGGTGATTTTGCAGAAGATTGTCTATTGTTGGCTTCCGAAAAAGTATGCCCTGAAGCTACACAGAAATTTAAAAATGTTCCGAGTCTCAGCAGAATGAAAATTCACAGAAGAATTGAAAATTTATCCCATGATGTTATTGAACAATTACAGAATGCTGCCGCCAAATTTAAGTACTTTTCTCTAACAGCTGATTAGTCAACAGATATTACTTCAACATCTCAGCTTCTTTTGTTTATCAGAGGAATTTCTGAAAATTTTGAAGTAACTGAAGAACTTGTTGGAATGAGTTCAATGAAGGGGCGAACAACTGGAACTGATATTTTATTCTGTTTAAATTTGTATTCTGAACATAATTTTGATATTAATTAATTTGATATATATACTTGTTAGTATCACTACTGATGGAGCTCCAGCCATGGTTGAAATTCAGAATGGCATGGTGAGTTTACTGAGAAACCATTTATATGATAGAGGAAAAGATTTTCTTGGGTATCATTGTATCCCAAGAACAGCTATGTGCGAAAGAACTAGGATTTGACCGCCTAATGAAAGTAGTGAGCGATGCAATCAATTTTTTTCGCTCACATGGTTTAAACCACAGACACAGATGCACCACATAGTGATCTCATATATTACTCTGAAGTACGATGGTTGAGCCGCGGAGAGGCTTTGAAAAGGTTTGCTGATTTGGTTGATGAAATAATACCATTCCTTGAAGAAAATGGCAAGCAAACTAGGATGTTAAAGGAACCATCCTTCAAGTGTGACTTCGCATTTTTTGTTGATGTGACAGCCCATCTGATTGGCCTAAACAAAAAAAAAAAAAACGAGAGGAAAAAAACCAATTCATTAATCCTCCGGGCCAATGCAGTATCTGCTTTCAAACTAAAACTCCAGTTATCAAAATGGCTTAGCTGTCAAAATTTTGTTAATTTTCCTTATCTGAAGAAATTCGAAGAAAATTTTCCTGATAAACAACTGAGTTACTAAGATCAAATAAAGTGGCAGCTTATTTCTTTTGAAAAGGGATTTTCATACTTTGAGTTGCATAGGGTTAAAATTAAATTGTCCGAGGATCCATTTTCTGTTGTAGTCGAAGAAGCTCCAGAAGATGTTCAAATAAAACTTATCGATTTACAAACTTCTGACTTATGCAAATGCAGATTTCGTGGCTTAGATATTCTAGACTTTTATAGAACTCTACCAGCCAAATTTTTCCACTTAAAAAATAATGCAAGCAGATGTGCTATCATGTTTGGTAGTAATTATATATATACGTGGACAAACATGTTCTCTTATGAATCTAAATAGGTCAAAATTAAGAAATAAACTGACAGATCAACACTTGCAATCTGTCTTAAGAATATCAACAACTGACTTATCTCTTTCTCAGGAGCAGACATATGAGAATCCAATATAGGTGAATGAGACCTCACATGTGGCAGACTGCCCATTTTTAGGCTCCAAGCAGCAGCTTTGTCTTTTGGAGCGAGTTCTAATATTATTGACTGCATATGGAATGATTACAGATATATAGCATCATTGTGAATAGTGGTGAAATTATTGAAAAGTATAAGTGTAGCTAATGCTTGTTTGGGTTATTCGTAAAATATTTCACCCCCAAAATGGCTACTAAAAAACATAAAATTGATTCAGACTACAGTGCTTTTAATGATGAATGGACTTGAAAAATTTTTTTTTACCGTTGTAAAATATAAACCAGTGCATCTCATCTGCAATGAAGCTGTAGCAGACTTCAAAGCATATAATATTTTTCGTCATTTCACATCTAAGCATAAGAATTCTAATTACAAAGCAATGTCCGAATGTGAAAGAAAACAAAATGCAGAAAGTCTTTGTAAAACATTATCAGGCTGACAAATTTTTTCAAGGAGGTAAACAGTATCCAAGAAGCAGCTGTGCATGCAAGTTACATTGCAGCATACAATATTATTAAAAATAATACACACGAACAACATCACTGTGAACATAAGTTTGTGATGTTTTATGTCCACACAAGGGAAAAAAAAAAAAAAAAAAAAAAAAATTGAGACTGTAAACAACTTATCTTGAAAAACTGTGACTTCTAGAATTGAAGGCATTGATAAAAATTTGACATCCCAATTAGAGTCAAGGATTGGCCAGTTTAAATTTTGCTCCATATCTATGGATGAAAGCAGCAATATAAATGATACTGCTCAATTAGTATTATTTATAAGAGATGTTGATGAGAACTCTGAAATTACCGAGGAACCAGCGTGCATGCATTCTTTAAAAGGAACTACAGCGCATCCCGCATACACAGCACATATTTTTCGTGAATTTCAGGAACAGCTTTTAACTTTGAAAGTGTCTATAACAAATATATGTAATATTACGACTGATGGAGCATCAAATGTGACAGTTAAAAAATTTGGATTTTTTTTAACTTTTTAATCAAAACTATCCTGGGAACATTGTTTTTTTTTTTTTCTACATTGTGTTATACATCAAGATGCTGTGTAAATTTGCATTGAATATGAAAGCCATGCTTGATGCAGTCATGAAGCTTTTACATATTATTCAATCTCGTGGGTTTATTCATAGGCAATTTTGAGATATTCTTCAGTCCGTGCAATATGAACGCTCTGATGTACTGTACTACACAAAAGTAAGGTGGCTTAGCGCAGGATGTGTTTTCAAGCGAGTTTGGCAGCTGAAAGACGATATTGTGTCATTCTTCCATGAGAAACAGTGTTCTGCGGAGTACAAAACGTTAGAAGCTACAGAATGGTTTTCGAACTTTGCATTTTTCACAAATCTTGTTTGACATATACGCAACTTGAATGCCAAGATGCAAGGAAAAAATCAATTTATCAATGATATCTGGGCCCATCTCAAAGCTTTTAAACTAAAACTTAATCTCTTTGCTGGGCAGCTAGCTAAGAACGACTTGTTTCATTTCCCAAGGTTAAATTCAACACTCTCAGTAAATGAAGAGACACTTAAGAATTCTGAAGATGGTTTGAAAAAACTGCATTTTGAGTTCGAACACAGATTTCAAGTGCCATTCAAACAGAATTGGATAATTTTACCATGCATTTCAACGTAACCTGTGAAGCAGTGAGG